GTCTGTGGGTCAGGGAGGGGTCTGTGGGTCAGGGAGGGGTCTGTGGGTCAGGGAGGGGTCTGTGGGTCAGGAAGGGGTCTGTGGGTCAGGGAGGGGTCTGTGGGTCAGGAAGGGATCTGTGGGTCAGGGAGGGGTCTGTGGGTCAGGGAGGGGTCTGTGGGTCAGGGAGGGGTCTGTGGGTCAGGGTCATCTGAGGAGGAAGGAGATGGATGGAGATGCGTGAACTTTTATTTAAGATTCAAGTTTTTTATTTCAAAGGTCCTCATGGCTCACAGCAGAAGCATAAATAATACTGTTAATAAAGCTGAATAAAATTTTAGGTCTGATTATATATGCTTTTATAACTTTACTATAAGTTATATATTCTTATAATAACAAATAATAAAAAAGCAGTAAATCTTTTAGAAATTTGTTGCGGATCTGAGACTATAGAATCGTCGATCTAAAATTCATCTAAAACCTGCTTTTTGGTATGTTTTTTGTTAAGAATACAATTGATGGTTCCCCACAAGTAATATATATTGGTTTTTTTTTTTTTTGTTCAACAAATTTCACATTGTAATAGTGAATTTTTGCTCCTCATATGACATGATTTAATCTATTTTTATATTTTTAAACTGAAACTGATTATAAGGAGTAGGACAAAGAAGATATCTTTTATATAATCTATTTTTTATTTTTCAGTGACTTTATAATAGCTGGAGTTATCCTTGATTTGGACAGTTTGTGTTTTGAAGATACTGATTGTAAAGGAAAACATGAGTTATAAACCTGAGTAACATTTTTTATGAATAGTGAAAAGGCCTTCTGAGCATCAACTAGACTTCCTTCCACGATAACTGACTTACAGAGTGTCTAAAATTTAAAACATTTCTTTCACTACAAGTTCGTCTATATACAGTATAATGTTTTGTAAAGGGGGACATTTTTCACTCATTAACAGTGATCAAAAATATAGGACAGTGATCTGCCACATCTATGCATAGGACACCAGATTTCATAGTCCTGTTATACAAATTGGTAAAATATTATCTATGAGTTGCTGAAGTATTAGTCACTCTGGTGGGGACTGAAATCATAGGATTAAAGCTGTAGGAATACATAGTTTCAGTAAATTCCTTGATTATTTCTCTCATTATTTTCAATATTAACATTAAAGTCACCCATTATGTAACAGTTTTTTCTTTCATTACAGATTATATCTAAAACGTTTGTGATATCAGTACTAAATGCAGAGAGGTCACTATTAGGTTGTCTATAAAGACATAAAATTATTGCTGAATTAGTTTCAACTGCTACTACTTCTGAAGAATATGCAAAAAGATCTTCAATATCATGTCTTTCTTTATAATGTAGATTAGAATTAATAGAGAAACCGCTCCACCCACCCTTCCTACATCTGAAAATACGCTCACCGGCCACTTTATTAGGTACACCTGTCCAACTGCTCGTTAACACTTAATTTCTAATCAGCCAATCAC